AATAGGGTCTGCATCCTCTAATGCTGCTCACGAACTCTCGCTGGCAGCTATCAACACTCCAGATCTTGATGCTCCTATAATTGAAACATCGGATGAAAATCATGTTATCAGTCAAGATGAACCAGATATCTCAATTTCTCTTGGTTCACAAGACACACACTCTGTAGAGCTGCCGGATAAGATAGATGTTACCTCAAAGGAAAATCTGAAAAAAGCTGCAAAGGAGACTAAACAATGGTCTTCCCTTTTCCGAGATAACAGGGCGCCATCAAATGGACTTAAACTGGAATATTTCCCCCCTACCGGGGAAAAATTGGACTTCTCTCACCTGGAAGTACCAACCTTAATTGAGGTCTGGGGTTTCTGCCTTGTTGGTCACTTCTCGGGCAGATTCCCTGGGCTTAAAGCTATACATGAGATGGCAGGAAAATGGGGTGTCCGGGTTGATATTAAACCACATAGCAAAGGATGGGTGATATTTAAATTCACAAGCGAGGAGGACAGACTGAAAGTTTTATCTGAAGGTCCCTATGTTCTTTTTGGAAAAACAATGTTCCTAAAAGAACTTTCTGAAGACTTTTCAGTTGACAGTGTTGAATTCCTGAAGGTGCCAATCTGGGTGAAACTTCCAAACTTATCAATGCGACTGTGGAAAGCAAAGGAATTGGGTATGATAGCATCTCAAGTGGGTGTACCTATCACCACTGATAAGGTTACACAGGATACTGTCTATACACACTTTGCACGAGTTCTTGTTGAAGTAGATGTATCAAAGCCGCCGGTGACCCAATTTCCAATCGTCCCCCCTTCCGGAAAGGAGTACATGCAGCATGTCATTTTTGAGACTTACCCGGACTATTGTTACAACTGTAAGATGTATGGACATCATCCATTTAATTGCTTGAAGCTGAATCCGCCAAAGGAGAAGAAGAAAGAAGACCTCACTGCCAATGTAAAGCGAAAGAATCCTGATGCCCGGGAACAAATTAAGACTCCAATGATGCAGGATAAAGCTGCAAGGCATGGCCTATTCCAACTGCCAGGATCCTTTGCTCTTCTGGCCGACACTGGAGTAGAGCAAGAGCATGGCTTTGACTGGGAAGGCCGCAAAATCATGAGTGTCTATGAGTTAGAAGCCGATGATATTGTCAATCATTTCGAGACTAATGAAGATGGTGTACATGCGGCTTATGTCAAGAAAAAGCACCAGATCTTGAGTTACATTCCTATTGCTAGACTGGGAACAAATCTTCAACGAGTTGATAATTTGGATGTACCGGCTATCTCTTTTACTGACCCATGCTTGGTGGCCCTCCCCGGAGTGAAGCGAACATTCAAATGGTATGCATTTAATAAAGAAGTTTTTTACCTTAATGTAGCTTCTTTCTTTGATATTCAGGCTAAGCAAAATGTGGATTTCTTAAGAGCTTTGAATCATTCATCATTGGATGCGCCGAGCACCTCTAAACTGGTTCTAAAGGAACCACATGCTGCTGTGCCTAAACCAAATGAAGAGGCAGTACAACAGGGCAGAAATGCTCCCCAAATTGGTGATTTTAGCTACACAATCCGCAACATGCATGATATGGCTGAAGGGGATATTGTTACAAAGCTAGGCACGGATGAAAATGGCAAAAGGATGGCCTGCGTTTGCTCACCAGACCTGCTGCCAGTTGGGGTGACTACGGTTAGAGTGGGTTTCCAACTCCAACAAGTAAAGGATGAGGATCCGGGGGTAACTTTCACCGAGGCCTTCATCCTATCCTACCCGGGTGTAAAGAAGAAAGGCAATTGGTATGAATTCCCTACTAATGTCTTTACTACTAATGTCATGAATTTTTTCAATGCAAAGCTTGCCAGGAACATTAAATACCTTAAGGAAAAGCTCCGAAGGAGGAGGCAGGCCGAGAAGTTATTAGGTGTTGAAGAAGATGAACCCGGGGACGTAAGCCATTCCTCGGATCTCTACCTATCTTAATGATTAAAGTTGCTACGTGGAATGTTAGGGGCTTAAACAAAGCCTCTAAACATAATACTATTAGTAACTTTATTAAATTAAATAAGGTTAATTTGTGCTGTTTCTTGGAAACGAAATTGAATATGGAAAACTTAAAAAAAATTGTTGCAAATAAATGGCCTGGCTGGTTATATGCAAATAATTTTGCACAAATACCTGGCGGCCGTATTGTGGTAATGTGGAACCCTGCTTTTCTGGACTGTGTGGTGCATGAGATTGGTACCCAATATGTTCATATTGAATGTATGTGCCGTATATCTCACCTTTCTTTTTTAGTAACTTTTGTCTATTCACTATATACTGTCTTGGAGCGCAAGCACCTATGGGAGTACCTTGCTAATCTCGGTTGCCGTTTTACGAAACCTTGGTTAGTTTTGGGTGACTTTAACTGTGTGTGCGCTCCTAATGAGAGGTTGGGGTCAACCCCACCTTCGGCCTATATGATGCAGGATCTTGCAAACTTTAAACTCATGGCTAACCTGGAGGATGCCCCATCCACTGGAGAATTTTTCACGTGGAATAGGGGCTCCTTGTGGGCTAAGCTTGATAGAGTCCTCTTAAATGAGGTTTGGGAACAACAAAGAATTGTGTGTAAGGCCCATTTCTATGAAATGGAGGTGGAGTTTGATCATACGGCCTCCGTAACATCAATACTCATAAATTCCTCTTTTAGGCCGAAACCTTTTAAATTTTTTAACATGTGGATTAAGCATCCGGACTTTAATAATATTGTTGCGCAGAGTTGGTCTGTTTTTGTGTCTGGTACAGCTCAATACTCGTTTGTTAGGCGGCTAAAGGCATTAAAGGCACCCTTAAAGAAGCTCAATGAGATGGAGTTTGGTCATATTTCGACCAAAGCCAAATTGGCTAAGGAAGAGTTTAAAAGGCTGAACAAATTAATGTTGGAGTTTCCAACGGACGAAGATGTTCGAATGCAGTTGATGCTGGCAAGGAAAAAAGCAACCTTCTTGGGGGAGGCTGAAACATGCTTCTTTCAACAACGGGCCAAAGCCACGCATATTCTGGAAGCGGATAAGGGCACACGTTACTTTCATGCGATTGTGAAGAGGAATGCCGCCCGCAACTCTATCTCCTCGGTTATGCTTGAAGATGGTAGTTTTACTAAATCGTTAGATGAAGTTGGTGATGTATTTGTAAAATTTTTTGTTGATCTTTTTGGAACACAGGTGGATACCCTGGACCTGGACCACTCGGTTTTAGGTACTGGTCCTCTGATTGAACCAAGCGTTCATGAAAGCCTTCTTTCACCGGTATCAGACAAGGAAATTAAAGATGCTTTGTTTGATATTGGGAATGATAAGGCACCGGGACCTGACGGGTACTCCTCGGCTTTCTTTAAAGCCAATTGGAGCATTGTTGGGAATGACATGATACGGGCTATAAAGGAGTTCTTTCGAACGGGAAAAATGCTTAAACAGATCAATCATACTGTTATAGCACTTATCCCTAAGACTAGTCATTCCCCTAAAGTCTCGGACTATCGGCCCATTTCTTGCACGAATGTTTTATATAAAGTCATTACTAAGATTATTGCGTTTAGATTAACCCCGTGCCTCTCGGGGTTGATTAACCAAGCCCAAGGAGCGTTTGTCGATGGCCGCCTAATGTTTGATAACATCTTCCTAGCCCAGGAACTTGTTAGAGGATACAATAGGAAGAGAATTTCGCCAAGATGTATGATAATGGTGGATTTGCGCAAGGCCTACGACACGATATCATGGGACTTCCTCCATAAGGTCTTATTGGGTTTGGGCTTCCCATCTCGCTTTGTTGGATGGATTATGGAATGTGTCACGACGTCCTCGTTCTCGGTTTCTTTAAATGGATCATTGTTTGGATTCTTTAAAGGAAAAAGAGGAATAAGGCAGGGTGACCCTATGTCCCCGTTGCTCTTTGTTCTATGTCTTGAATATTTCTCTCGGTTACTCACATTGAGAACCAAGGGGAATAATTTTAATTTCCACCCCCAATGCTCCTCTTTGGGTATTACCCATCTGGCCTATGCGGATGATCTTATGCTTTTTTCGAGAGGTGACACATATTCTGTAGAAATATTGGTCAACGCTCTGAAAGACTTTGGGGACGTATCGGGCCTTAGGGTGAACCATGGAAAATCTCATATTTTCGTGGGGGGGGTGAGGGACCAGGAATTGCAAAATATTTTGGATATTGTTGACTATGGGCAAGGCGTGTTCCCGGTAAGATACCTTGGAATACCTCTTGCTCCACTTAGAATTTCAGTTGCACAATATGCACCCTTACTCGATATGGTCAACGATTTTTTAAAAGCGTGGAATACAAAAACACTATCCTATGCAGGGAAAATTGAACTAATCCGTTCGGTAATTCAAGGAGTTCAATCATTTTGGCTCCAAATTTTCCCGGTTCCTCGAACCATATTGGATAGGATAGTGTCAATTTGTAGAATTTTCCTATGGGGTGGAAAATACTCCAAGGTCTCATGGGATGACATCTGTCTTCCCAAGGAGGAAGGTGGACTTGGCATTCACAATGCCAAAGTATGGAATGATAGTCTATTGGCCCGTACGCTGTGGGATGTTCATCGAAAAAAGGATACCTTGTGGGTCCGGTGGATTAATGGTGTTTATCTTCGGGATAAAACTGTATGGGACTTTGTCCCACATAGCCGAGACTCTCAACTAATGAAAAGGTTGGGTCTCATTCGGGATAGACTTCGAGGATGTTTTAATAACTTAAATGACACCATACTAGGTTTAAATGCAAGATGCATCAATAATAAGTTGGTGTCGGGAAAAATATATGAACTTTTTAGAGTAAGAGGGACCGTTAGGACTCCGATGACCTTCATTTGGAAATCCTATATCCCTCCAAAGTTCTCTTTTAATGTATGGTTGGCTTTGAGGAACCGACTTCCTACACAGGACAGCCTCGGCTACCTCCATATTGTTAATAGATGTGATTTATGCAAGGGTGGATTGGAAACAATTCCACACCTCTTTTTTTGTTGCCCTTTTGCGTGCAGAGTATGGGAGAAAATTCGGGCATGGATCGGCTTTGGGAATCACATGAATACACTCCTAAGTGCAATAAAATGGATTTCCAAGAAACGCAGGGGATCAACGTTGAAGGCCAAGGCAGGACGGCTTGCTTTTTGTGCAGCGGTTTACCATATTTGGCAAGCAAGGAACAACGTAAGATTTGATGAAGCCACGAGGACTGAGGATGATGTGGTCGCCAAGATCAAACATGTGGTGTATAAAATACTTTATAGTATTTACCCACATGATTTGGTGAACTTCTAAGCTAGGATGCGTCTTGACTCTTGGTGTTGCCCAGGCAATGACGTCTACGAGTACTGTGGCACGGACATTGTGGATGGTGGTAACGAAGCAGGAGTGGGATTGTGGTGTTTGCATTTTGTGGCACCCAATAGATCTTTTAGCCTCCGTTTAGGTGTGTGTCTGTAAGCAACACCGTTATGTTATGTTTATTTTGATGGGCCAGGTCTACTTGGTTATTTCCCATAGTTTAGATCGAAGAAAAACCTCTCTTCAACCCCATTTTATGTGGGGGTGGGGGGGGTTAGGAGATCTTAGCTATATGATGTAAAGTTTTCTGGGTGTTAATATATTTTACATTTCATCCAAAAAAAATAAGAAATAGATCCAAGCACCACATAAATATGTCTATATATAATGCATGACATCCCCACGCAGCTGAATTAGCTAGCATCAGAACGTCTTAAGTAAGCTCAACTTCCATATATGGGATATCAATCTGATATATTCCCAACCTTATTATCAATATTCAATAATTTCATCTCTGTTCTCTGATCTAGCTACAACATAATCTTCTTAGCTTACTGGTCCCTACTCCCTGAATTTAACCTCATTTCCCCACCCAAACTACTATACCCTTCTCTTTCACCTCATTCTGGTTATTATATATATGCATCTGGCGGCTGGAAGAATTGAATGGACATAGAAAAAGATAATAAAGCACCTTCTTCTTCCATGGACAAAGATACAGACCAAGCTGCTTCTGTCGATGCCCCTTCTTCGAAATTCATCGAGTCTCAGGTAATTAATTAGTTGATTTTAAATCATATAGCTAATTCAAGAACACAACTTATTCTCTTTCTTTTTGCTACTTTTTAGTTTCCTTTACAAGAAAATATCAATGAAATAATTGCATGTGAGGGGAAAGCGATAGTCTCCAAGAGGAGGATACACAATTATTAAGAAAAAAATCTTAAAAAAAGTTACCAGAAAAGATTGAAACAAAAAATTTGAATAATTTTATCAAGGAAAAATACATGGAGTATATTACTATTATTCAGGGAATTCAACTTATTTTTTATTCTTATTTAGAAAATTTTATTATTATTATTATTATTATTATTATTATAAATATTGTTAATGAGTAGAAGCAATACTATATTATTGACATGATACCATCCACTTCCCGTTATATTTGATACAAGAGGAGGAGACACAATTATTAAGAAACACGCATTTATGCATGTGATTAATATTAAATTGATAAAATGAGAAGAAAGTAAGAACGATTTAGAATCACATAAATATTAGCAAATTTGATATGTGACAATTTTATTGGGACATATCAATAAAAAAGAGGCCAGAGAACTATTTTAACAGGACAAAGAGAATATTATGTATCACGTCAATAGGCGGTGACACCAGATAGTGCCTATTGTCGTTACATTGGTGGGTGGTTGTAACTTCGAGGGATGGCGGCATTGTGAGAATATAATGTTACTATTAGTAATTTAGGACGAAGAGAATATTATGTATCACGTCAATAGGCGGTGACACCAGATAGTACCAACTGTCGTTACATTGTTGGGTAGTTGTAACTTCGAGGGATGGCTGAGTGGTTGTAACTTCGAGGGATGGCGGTACTGTGAGAATGTTACTATTAGTAATTTAGGATAGTGCTATTGTTAGTGTTATTGATTGTAGAGTTTAATATATGATGAACATTTACTACCATTTAACTGGTACCTAGTAATTAAGTATATGACATTGGAAACATTAGCCCAGTTGATTTTTGTGTTTGGCATTTTAGATTTAGGTCTTTTTAAGGGCAACAAATACTAAAACCCTAGCTGACATTTGAAAAGTTATTGTAATCTATCAACCAAATTAACAGATTGATGGTAACATGAAAACTGTGTTATTATTAATTAAAAAGGCTAACAATACGATTTAGAAAGTGTTGATTGCCAATTTTCTCACTTATAATCTGATTATCAAAATACATTTTGGTTCAAATATATATATATATATATATATATATATATATATATATATAAAGCTGATGAGCTTAAACATTAATCATATTTAGATGCATGCGTGATTGCTTGTGTTTGTACATTCATACATGATAAAAGTTTATAATAAAACTATAAAAGTATAGTGTTAGGTTGATCAGCCGAAAGGTGTGGTGTGAGATATGCATGGAGTAATTGTCTTAGGAAAGCCATTCCATTTAGGCCTAATTATTAATATCCTTTTTTCCAGGAGCAAATAATTACTAGCTCCACTTTGTCTTGTGATTTATTGATTTGGCTGTTTTCCTAGAACAATGGTGATGGTCCCATTCCATTGTCCCCTAAAAGGGCCGACCTTAAAAAAAGTAAGAGGGGCACGGGGGATTAAGAGTCCATTTGGAACCCTCGTTTTCGGTTTATCAGCGGCCATTTTTTTCACCAAATATATTATTTTTGATTTCGTGCGTTGAGTTCTTTAATAATCAAAGTAATAATCAAAATAAGTAAAAATTGGTGTAAATTGTCTGAGTGGACGGTTAAAGTTATTGTAGAGAACCATTTTGTTTATTTTTTATATAATTTTTTCTTTATTTCATTAATAAAATATATTTTAAATACAATTTTTCATAATTCAGCAATCAGCTAATCCAGGCACTTCAGCAGAATCAGTCAATTTAGTCCACTTCAGTATTACCAAACATGCTTATAATATTCATTTCTATATAATTTGTGTACACTTATTTATTAATGCTAATAACAATTTAAACTTTTCGTTTATAAATTTCGAGAATGTAAAGATTTAACCACAAATTCACGACAAGTGCAAAAACACTTCGGAAATTATACTTTTCTTTTCATTCGATAATTGGATTAATTGTCTATCTATAGTTTAAATATGAAAATTTTCACCCGTAGTCCGTAGAGCAAGTCATATTTTTTTTTACGCAAGAGCAAGTCATACTTCGTACGGAGTATTTCTTTATCTCTTACGTACCTTGTTTTTAACTTTTTATTATAATTTGAAGTTTTTAAAAACATGGTTGAGTGTTGCCAAAAAAAACATGGTTGAGAAATAATTTGTTAGGATAATCCAATAAGGCACTAATGGAAAGTGGGTTCTAGACAATGGAAAGTAAGGCCAGCCCTACCCCTCGTTTTGTTTGGTTTCGGTAGATATAAGTAACGTAACCTTAGGAAAAAGATCATGTCCATGTGGATGGACAGGAAGCTCCGTCCCGCCGAGGCTATCAGAGCCCCTTTCCGGTGGAATTGTTTAATGAAATTTTTTGAGTATGTTCTTTATGAAGTCTAGTTTATTCATACCAAATTTCAGCTAAACATTCAATCGGGAAGGCAGTCAAATGATTTTTGGAAGTTAACTGCGCACTTTATATACATATAAAACGCAGTCATCTTCCAAAAATCATTTAAGTGTCTTCTCGGTTAAATTTATAGTTGAAATTTGGTATGGATAAACTACACTTCATGAAGAACATGCTCAAAAAAATTTAGCAAAAATTTCCACCGGGAAGGACCCCAAATGACGACGGCCGGACGGCATGTCCTGTCCCTCCAGCTGGACAGGATCATTACTCCCTTAATTGATGAGTTTAGAAGAACCTAAATTTAGGTCGCATGTATACCCAAATATTAAGTTATATTGCCTAGATAAATGTAGGAAGCTCTCGTGATTATTGACAAGGTATAATGCGAGACTCCTTACTCGACTGTTTTCAACCCCCGGACCAAGACCATTTAAATCAAATCAGAGTTAAACAGATCAATTCGACCAGATTCAAATAGACTTGATCAAATTAGACTTCCTTAGTTATAAACTACATGGAGATCAGACATTTACCAGACCAGACCAGACCAATGTAAATCATACCAGACTAGACTTAAACAGATCAGACCAGATCAACAAATTTTAGTCCAAGTAAAAACATCATTGGTCATCTTTGACTTTTCCATTAAAAATAGTAAGCTTTGACCAATTATTTTAACTAATAGTATATTATGATAATATTTATAACAAAGAACATTTTAATATCATTTTCGTATGAGCAATACTAAAATGGACGGAGGGAGTAATACTTATTAGTTTATTTGCATATAGTTCGTGTATAATTCACTCAAACGTATAAGTCACGTATAATATTCCTGTTTATGAATTTTTCTGAAAATTCAGAAAAAATCACGTATTTTAAAGATAAAATGTATAATACATGTATCATATATATTCATACGTATTTTATTCAAAAATTCAGACCATTAAAGTGAAACTTAATGGAGTGCTACAACTGAAGTGAAATGTCTAGTTGCCGATACTATTTATAATGTTTAAAAAATATTATGCTTTATAACAAGTTCGTTAACTATTTAATGGTCATTAGATTTAATAAGTTAGATCCTTAAAGTCATAAACTCATACCAAGACTCCAAAAAACAGAGTATTACAATGACTCATCGAACTCACAGGTTCCAGTAATATCAACTTTGTTCTAGTAATATCTCTCTAGTAAAAGGCTCCACTTTCATTCTTATTAGTTTTAAAACATACTACCTCGTCCCGTTGGAAGGTTCCCATAGTAAAACGGTACGGTTATTTAGACAATAATTAAATAAAGTACTTCGAGTATATTTTGAGAAATAATTTTAATAGGTATATATTATAATGTAGTTAGTATTGATAATTGTGATGTTACAAATGCATTATTTTTAATATTTAATGACTAATTTGTCACTTAAGATTGTTAATTGTTTCCTAAAATGGAAATAGGAACGTACCTTTATATGGAACATCCATAAAAGGAAAGTGGGAACCTTCTAACGGGACGGAGGGAGTATGTTATACGTATCCTTTGTTGTCCCAATTAACTGTGTCAATTTACTAAATTTAAAGAACTTAGTTTCATTTGTTATTTTCTTTTATCAATTTTTTTTTACATATTTAAGAAGAGTTTTAGCGTTGATTCAGTTCAGATTTTATATTGTGTTTTTTTCTTTTCAAACTATTACTTCCATAAGCTATGTAAACTTGATCCTATTTTTCATGGTTTGAGATTTGTTTTTACATGGTCTGATTGCAATAGAAAATTTGAAGTTCATATCAATGTTTTAAAGTTGGTATTTTTTATTGTTGTTATCACTTGTTTATACTTGTGAATTCATATTCACATACCCAGAAAAACTACATTTGAAACTGTTGAAGAAAGTAGTGCATATATTGAATTACTCATTATTTATATCATTAAAGTAATACTATCTGGAAATGTTCTCATACTATCTATATAAGACACATATTATATGTCATATTTTTAAATTGTGGAACATTTAAAACACGTTCATTACCTGTTTCACGAACGTATGAAATGCATATTTAGCCATATTTTATATAATCGTATGATATTATACACAAAAATATATATGTATTATGATATTATTCATGAACAGAATAATACTAACAAAGTTTAATACTCTGTATAATATAGTCACACGAGTCAAAGAAATTACTAGCCCGATATCATGTGTAGTGTATTGTTTGACGATCAGTGGTAGTTTGGTGAATGTGCAAGCTAGATGGGGAGGGGTAGCTCACCTGGTGGGAAGAGAGTGCCACAAAGGAGAGGTTCCAAGTTCATCTCCAAGTAATGACTTGGGATGGAACTCCACTCTGTTTCTATCATAGTGAAATCAAAACTCAACTTACATCCTCTCATATAATAGTCTGGTCGGTTCTGGAGGACCCTCTGAGAAGGGATAACATCCTTTTTTGTGAATGTGCAAGCTACCTAGTCAATTTGTTTGAAACATTTACTGATCTGTATATTCTAAAAATGCCCATTTTGATTAAACAAAGCTTAGTTTCCAGGTAATTTGACTCACATGCAATAAGGTATACTCCGTATAATTAATAGTGCTTAATAAGACTTAATTGTAATTCATGAATCATTTTGGCTTAATAGTGTTTGGACTTTAGAGTCGTTATGATGAAGTCAGAAACATAAAGCATTGAAAAGTTTAGTAAATGCCGCAACATTAGTTGTAAATGTATTATATTACCAGTAATTATTAATTAAATAGACAAATAAATAGCACTCCCTAATCCATAGTTGGTTAGTAAGATGGATGTTGCGACCAGTTTCCACATTAATTGTGCTACTTCTTTTCCATTTTTCTCTAGGTTGTTGTTGATCATGTTGATGGACAAAATCACAGGTGGGGCTACTACATGGGGTCCATACTTGGACAGTTGGACTCACATTTGGTTGCACCTTTAGGGCCTTCACTAAATCTAAGAGCATAATGGAAGTAAATATTATAGATAATATAAAAATGGCAAGAAAGATTAAAGAGGGTGTTGATAATCGTTTTGAGTTTATCAATATTATCAACCAACTTTTAAATTAGATACACAATTTTTGTTTTCACACGTTGAATCACGTAATAATTAAATAAGTAAAGTTAGAAGTACTTTTCTGGCTGAATTGACTAAATTTGCTAAATACTACTACCTTCGTCCCCCTAAGTTTGGGACAAGAGAAGATGACACGGTTATTAATAAAAGTGGGTTTATGTGGTTGATATTGAAATGATAAAGTAAGAATAAAGTAAGAATGATTTAGGCCCACACAAATTTTACCAAATAAGGTATGAGACAATCTTAGTGGAACGGACCGAAAAGGTAATATGGGACAATCATAGCGGTACGGAGGGAGTAGTATTTTAGCTAATTTTCATATTTTTTTCTTTATTCTATAAATATAGTATATTTTAAATTTAATTATTACTTAATTCAGCCAAGATTTCATCAAATTGAGCATATGTGGTCAATTCAACCAATTTTAATGTTATCAAATGAGCTCAAAATAACAGTAAAAGGTAGCTAAAAGAAGATGAAGTAAAGATATATATTGAAATAATGGCGTATATTACATAAATTTAGATGGTGGATAAAAATACAACCTCTTATACAATGGTTTTATTAATAATTTTTAATGGCTATGGCTATGGTGAATTTTGTACTGAAGTTATCAATTATCATGACCGTTTGCTCATTCTATGATAACGGTACGGTAACTTTGGTCACACTTTATTCATGAGTTTTATTTTCATCAATATTCTATGAAAAACCTCATACTCCTTCCTTCTTCCCAAATTAATTGTCTTGTTTACTTTAGCACAAGTTTTAGTAAAATGGTTGAATATATAAAAGATATGATTGAGATTTGAATCAAAAGGGTGAATTAATATGAGTCATATATTATTGTCAAAAGAGAAAACAACAAGACAATTATTTTGGAACATCCCAAAAAGGAAAACAAGACAATATATCGTGAGACTGTGAGTATGAGAGTAGTTGTCAAAAAAATGGAACAAGTAAAAACGAACAAAAGTAGTCTTACTTGTGTAAATGCTTTGGGCTTGTAATCAATTCAATGCAATGCATTCTGTCCAATGTCGGCTCTGTAAATGCATTGTGTCTTACTGTCTTATAAGAAGATTCTGGATGGATGGTGTCCAACCAAAACGTTACAATTAGCATGAACTTACAATGTTAAGTAATCTTATTTAGCACAATAAGTTTCATGTCCCCAATCCCGATTAGGATCAACGTGAATTGACTAGGATTAACGTGGCAAAAATGATGGTGGTGGTGCTTTAACTAAGGTCTCTACAAAATGGATAAGCTTTATGGTTTAATGTATGTATTACAATAGAAATTTGGTATTGTTGTTGAAAGTTATAATTAGCAATCCGAAATATATGACAACTGCATGGGGTCAGACAAAGCCACAAATGCAATGTCAACTAGCTGCTTCTCATGTTAATAAATAAAAAAAGTTTTCCTTGATGTGTCAAGTTCTATAGTTCTATTCATCTCAAAAACAGGAAGGGAAGATGAGGCTCTTGGACTCATGTACCGGAGATGGATCAACAGATAGGCACGGAAAACCGGCACTGAAGAGGAAAACTGGTGGATGGAGATCAGGGATCCTGATATTAGGTACATAGAAAGAGTACTCGGTGTCTAATGTATTGGTTTGTATTTTTATGATCCGTACTATATTTCACCAATGTACTACTGTTAAGCAGTAACAGTTCAAAAACAAGTGGTCTTGAAACAAATTTGTTCAGTTAATAGTTTAATACTGAATGGATAATCAATATGTTGTTTGGTTGATGCAGCCAGTGAGGGATTGGCCACACTTGCTTTCACAGGAGTGGAAGTGAACATGGTCCTTTTCTCCAAGTCTGTGATGAGAAAATCAAACGCAGATGCTGCCAACTTCTTTAGCAGGTGGATGGGTACCCTTTACATTTTCTCCCTCTTAGGAGCTTTCCTCAGTGATTCTTACATGGGAAGATATCTCACTTGTATAATCTTCCTTGCTGTCATGAACTTTGTAAGTCAAGTTGCACTCTATCAAAGTATCAATACTCTTTTGAATATCCCGCCTTGCTCAGCCTAGGACCTGTTTAGGCGTGAGGCCTTATTTGACATGAAAATCTCTAAACCAATCCTGCAACTCAAAGACGGGGACTTTTGTAGTCCTGTACTTTCAAGCTAGACACCTAATGCTTGCCATTTCAGAAGCTTCCTACATGGAAACTTTTTACTTTTAAATTTTGTAGTCTCAAAATATGCCCATCACGCAGGACGGCAGGAGAGTTGTAGACTATACGAATCTGGTCAAACCCCCAAAATTTGTGTCAAGTTTTAAGTGTCCCACAGGCCACATATTTCATTTTCTTTGCATGATTAAAGTGTTCCACGTTGTATGTATCCATATCTATATCTAAATTAAATTGTATTTAAGTATGAGGTAACCGTTAGGGGTGGGATTTTGGAACCGGGAACCGTAGAACCGATTGGAACCGAACCGTTAACAACATCTAGGAACCGAACCGTTAACAATTAATGCCTCATTTGTAGGAACCGAACCGAAGCGGGTTATAACGGTTCGGTTCCCGGTTCCTATAAAAAATATGTGCATGGAACCGTTAAGGAACCGTTATTAAAAAAATAAAAAATAAAATAATATTAGTAGTAGTAGTAGTAGTAACAATAATAATAATAATATAATAGCAATAATAACCACCACCACAACAACAATAATAAAACAATATAAGATATTTAACTAACAATTCTAATTTAATCAACGGAAAAGAAGTAATAAATATTGTACATGTGGTTGATATAATACATTAAACTCCTTTGTACAAATCAAGTTTTGTTCCATCACATAAATTTTATAAATATAAAATAACCCAAATAACTTGTAGTTGATTGCACATATTTTACTTTACTATTTTCATGATATTTTTAATTATTAGATTTATTATGAATCAATAGAATGTAATAATGTTTTTTTATATCTATACATGCAAACTCAATGTCTTTTTTTTTATGTTTTGAACGACTTGAAGTAGGCGTCCTATTCTTGCTAATATGATGACGAGTAACCTTCATCGCTCCGACACTACAAGGATTTTTAATGTTTCATTTCTTACATGAAAATTTAAATCACTTTTGTTCTATTAAGTGTTCAAAGTTCATTAGTTAAGTTTGAGCTTTGATGTTTGAAGTGATTAGAGCTTCAAATAAAATTTTAATACTCGTGTTTTGAATTTTCGACGTGTTCAAAATTATGTGTTAATTCTTAGACGAGAAAAAATTATTCTAGGAACCGGTAAAAGGAATAACCGAACCGATTTCATAAGTTAAAATTTTTATAACGGTTCCACTCATTTTGAGTAAGAACCGAACCGGTCCCAGCCCTAGTAACCGTCACCTACTGAAAATCATTTTAGGATGAGTGAGGCCTAAATTAATATGGCATCGCAGACTGGTCTGTTAAGGTTTGTTTATTTGTTTGTTAAATGGCCATTGCTTGAGGTCGCTAATTTGGGTCAGTTTGATCCATTTATCCACCTACCAAGTTGTCCTGCCTGGTTTGTACTTAGGAGGTGTGAAAAGTGTCTCACACCAAATGTTTGCCAAAATATCTTGCCTCTTGAGAATCCTTTATGGTGAGTTAGGCCTAAATGCCTAATACTCCCCCCGTCCCAAGTTACAAGATATTTTTCGGTTTACGATGTTTGATCGACGATAAAGCAAACGGATCTCTGTCTACACTGAAATTATTTTTAGAAAAAAAATTACATATTCAGAAACTACATTAAAACCGCTACAAAATCTGCAAAAAATAATTCAAATTTCATAAAATTTTGATATATAAAGTAAGAGATTAAGAGTGATTTGTGTTGACCAAGTGAATAGTAATGATATCTTCTAAAATAGGACAGAGGGAGTAATAAATTGCAGCTAGCAGACCATTTTCTAGTTAATTAAGTGAAACCAATAGGGAAACAGTTCTTCTGTGTGTGCATTCTTTCTTCTGTGTGTGCATTCTTTCAATGTGGGGGGGGGGGGGGGGGGGCAAAGATGTCACAGCATGAAAAACTGTGACTAAAAATGATTTTAAAGCTATGCATTTTGTATGTGAAGCACCTGAAGTGAACTGGTTGACTTTCCAGGGGTTGGTGGCACTGTCATTGCTAACTCACGTGTTCATGCTTGTGCCAAAAGGGTGTGGAAGGATAGGAGAAGTATGCGATCAACAATCAATGGTTGAAGTGGCAATGTTCTACGTGTGCATGTATTTACTAGCAATTGGGAGTGGGTCCATAGAACCTGTACTAGCAACCTTAGGAGCAGACCAATTCGACGAAGAAGATCCTGAGGAGAGCCGATCGAAGACCAAATTCTACAGCTACTATTACGTTGCTTTAAACCTCGGGTCCCTTGTGGCAGAAACAGTTTTGGTGTATATGGAAACTTTAGGGAAATGGGTGTTTGCCTTTTGGATATCTACCTTCTGTGGGTTTGCTGCATTGATTTTGTTGATCGCAGGGGCATATCGGTATCGTCACATCCGGCCGTCAAAGAACCCTGTGTGCAGGTTCTGTCAGGTGATTGTGGCTTCTTTGAGAAAATTAAAGCTTCAAGTTCCATTGAATGGAGAAGGGTTGTATGAAGTTCATGGAAGTGCTGATAAATGTAACAGAAGGATCTCTCATACAGATGGTTTTCAGTAAGTTGGTTACTTTGATCTCATCTATCCTCTTTTTTTGAACTATGTTTTAAAAATTTTCTCATAACCTGACAAATCACAAACATGACAAACGCTCATTGTGATGGTAGTTGATATTTCTTTTTATCCAAACAAAATACAGGTTTCTTGATCGAGCAGCGATCATGGTCTCCACAGACATGACTTTGTTGCCAGACAAAACTGAAGTTCTAAATCCATGGAGGATATGCACAGTCACCCAGGTGGAGGAGGTGAAATGTGTGCTCAGACTACTCCCAATATGGCTTTGCACAATATTGTCGTCCATAGTGTTCGTCCAGGTTCTCTCCCTCTTTGTGGAACAAGGAGCAGCCATGAACACCAAGATCTTAACCTTCCACATGCCTCCGGCCAGCATGACATCATTCGACATCATCAGCACGTCCACCTTCATCATATGCTACGAGAACATCATACTCCCACTATATGTCAAGTTAATGAAAAGAAAGCCAAAGCCGCCAAGCGAGCTTCAGAGGATAGGGGTAGGTCTGGTCATTTCGATCATTGCCATGGCCGTGGCTGGTGTAGTTGAGCAGCAAAGGGTCAGGTATGCTAATGGAGAGGAAGAGACGAGTTCGCTAAGCATTTTCTGGCAAACCCCACAGTATGTTCTTGTGGGAATAGCCGAAGCGTTCGTTTACGTCGCACAGTGGGAATTCTTTGCATCACAGATCCCAGACAGTCTCAAGAGTATGGGGCTCGGCTTGTCTATGTCCTCTTCCGCCTTAGGTAGTTACCTGTGCAGTATTTTACTGACTACTGTGATGAAGATCACGGCTAGGGATGGGAAGCCGGGGTGGGTCCCACCGAATCTCAACGATGGCCACCTGGACAGATTTTTCTTCCTGTCTGCTGCTGTGGTTGTGTTGGATCTTCTGTTGTTCATCTTTTGTGCTAAGCGGTACAAAGGTATAGTGCTAGAAAAACGGGAGGAAACAGTTGAGACTTATAGCTGAAGAGTATGTTGCTATTCATCCCATAGGAAGAAGAAAAAGATGTAGAAAAATCAAGTGTAGCATGAAAAAGTTTAAAACTGAAATGAGTTTATTGCAAAAAAGGGTTAGTTTACATATGTGTCCCTGAGAGTTTGGTTAAAATACCAAATGAGGCTCAAAGTTTATGAAAGTTACAACTAAACTCCCACAGTGATAAGTTTTCAACAAACGACACATTGATACTAGTAGGAGTTAATTTTTCCAAGACTAAGTTGCAGTCAACATTTGTGACTAGTACCTTTTTTTTGACAGAAATCTTTGAAATACTTTAGCAAGTAATATGAATCATAAACATAGAGATGAGAAAAAATGAGGGGCAGATATGTAGAAGAGAGAAATAGACAGATTTTGTGTGTTGTTTGGTATGAGAGAAATGGAGAATGAAAGAATAAAAGTTGAGAAGAAAATCAAGGAATGCATTTTCGCTAGTAATTCTTCCCGACCAAACAAAGGCTAAATTCAAATGAAGAAGCTAGAGCTACAGTACGTTTTATTCATCGCATAGGCCAAAAGTGCACTAAATCGAGTGTACCCTGGAAGTTAAACTGACAATGAGTTTGTTGGAAACTAAATAATGGCCATTATTATTAGACTAAAAGCATAAACTAAATACTGGCAACTAACAAAAGGGTAGATTGTTACTTGTGTCACTTCGATATCTTAGCAGCCAGATCTCTAACTAGTTTTGCAGCAACCATAGCGGTCATCCCATCAACAGTGTCACGTTGTGGGTTGAATTCAACGACATCAGCACCCACAATGTCACCTTGAAGATTGTGGAGTATGTTGAGGATGTCTCGGAAAGAGAGACCGCCTGGCTCTATGTGAGATACAACCGGAGCAAATGCAGGGTCAAAAGAGTCTATATCAACAGACACATACACACCCTTCACACCCTCACCTAGTTTCTGGTGACAAAAAAGCATCAAGAACCATAATAAGTATTATATAAGAAATGATGAAAATGTATTAGCTAAAATAAAAGTTTGGACTCTTAATACGGAGTGAGTGAGTGACCCACTGACCATGGTGGCTTTTTTTGCAGAGACTGTAGTGTGACCAAAATGATGTTCAATATTATATAGCACAGAACATGTAGTCATACTTTGGTCCATAAGTTTATTTTAGTAAAATTATAGGAAACCTGTCATTAACTTAGTCCCACTTAAAATGATTCACAAGTTTTAAATAGGTCCAACAACATATTAGAGTTCAAGCATGTGTGTGTGAGAGAGGGAGATGTAAAGGCTGAACGAAGACCAACCAGATTTTCTAGATATTGGCGGTCTCTGGAAAATGTCGTCATTTCATATAGCTCAGTGCCAAATTTTTTAGCTTGTTCACGGCCTTCCTTTGAGATTTATCTAATCCCAACCTGTGTAACAAGAATATGAAGTTCAGAGAGACACATCAGGTGTGCTAGGGTTAATTTCTTTAGTGATATGTTCTGAATCCTGATCTGATAATGTTCCTATATCATGTCCTGGAATCTATTGCAAGCCACAATTTAAGCTATTCTAGGAAATTGAGAAATTCATGAAGAGTCTGTTTGGTTAAGGAAAATGCTAGGGAAAGAAATAGGGAGGAAACGTAGTAGAACATAAAAAAAATATGAGGAAAATTAATACTATGAAATCTAAATACATGTAAGAAATTTGAAAAATTAATAATATTCCATTTTCCTTTGCATATTCAAAGGTAAAACCAAGCATATGATAATAACTTTCCTTAGCATATCTTCCCTTTCCCTAACATGTTACATGATCCAAACATTGCCGAATTCAATAACTTTTAAATGAATCCAGCAAGTAAAAGCATCAATTCTTTCTTTTAAATGCCCAATACTGCATGTAACCACACAATGTGCTCTGCACTCTGGCTATACATGTACTATTTAATATTTATCACGGGTATGTTTGGTTTAAATTGAAAAGTGCAAAGAAAAATGAAATACAAATTGCGTTTAATTTTTTTTACATATATTAAGATTTCTCAGTTTTGACAATACTAGATAATTCTTCGTATAAATAAATGAACAAAATGACTTTGGAGTTTGAATAAATAACTAAAATAATATTATAAAGTTTGAGCTTATCTTATACTTTTCCCAGAAATTTCCTTCCAGATTTCCTCTCTATATTCCTCCCTTTTTACTAGAGTACATCTAAAAAAAGACTGCAGATGCTGCAGTTTAGAAATAGAAACTTTATTTGCAAGAGCCGCCTGGCATAACCACCTTCCATTATTCTAGCAAAACTAGAGGCATGTGAGTATTCGTTTCCTTCAAAGGCATGGTAGTTATCAGGGTGAGCATCCAAGTGAAGGATATCTACTTGTCCTCCCAGCTTCTTAGACACAGCTCTCACAACAGGATATGATATTGAGTGATCGCCCCCCAAGACTTAGGGGCACATCGGAACCTGTAGACAAAAAGAAGTATGCAAGTCAGGATATTGACAGCAAGAAAGAATGTACACAATGCCAAAACTCATGTGTCCCTCTCTTTTTAGTATGTCTGATCTGGAGAGCACAGGGAAGCTTGATAGTAAATAAGAAATTAAATCTGTAAGAAGTTGTATCTATGAGAGAAGTAATTATGGGTTATGACAAAGTTCTTCAAAAATATTGACAAATATATGACAAAAATAAAAGTAATGGACAATAATGTGACTTTGAATAAGCAATGACCATAATGGGATATCAGATGTGACTGCAATGACCTTGGTAAGGCCCTGGTATTATTGTAATAACTGTGTAATAACATTTTTGTCCACAAGTTCTACTTTACTAATATCCCAGAAAAAAACATTTCTCTATACAAGTACTATAACAGTTTTTAGAAATTGCCACATTGTATGTTAAAAGCCATAAAAAAGCAGTATTTTATTACTTGATAAAATTAACAAATAGAGGGATTCAGCATGCTCTGGCAATCAGTAGAACAGGACGATTCTGCCAATAATATGTGACTAGTAAAAAATATCGCTTACCTCATCCATCACTAGCTTGACAGATTTACTGATAATATCCATTAATCCATCATCGTCTACCCCACAGTCTCGTAACTCTTGTGCCGGCACATCGCCAGCATCAGTCAAGATGCGCGGATCACTCAAGTCTTTGCCTGCATTAATGCATCAATTAGTGAAGCTCTTTTAATAAAATGGATGCCTGAAACTTAAATGAGCGAGAACTGAGATCAGATGACCATTAGGAGACACTGGATTCACCACCTTCTTCAGTTGTAGAGTTTGTGCTGCCACACCATATAGCCTCTCGAATGCGGGGAGGAGCAAATGCAGGCCCTTGAAGAAATGAAGAGTTATGTCCCAAAGGAACCCCTATAAGAGTTGGTGATGCTACTACTCCCCCTAGAGCACGGAGAAGTTCTCCTTGCAAACAAAATAGTCAAAATACTATCAGGAAGGGAAAAAAACAAGAATAATTCCTTTGTGTAATATAATCGTCGGGCATACTATACCACATTGAAAACAACACCATTTTACGAAGTATAGAAACTTGGATTTCATCTAAATGGTAAGGAGTAACTCAAAGCCATGTATATGTCTGTTTATGTGGCCTAAGATGTGAATGTCACCACACTAGGACTAAAGCTATATATTTTTATGATGACTAGAGGATATATCCGGCGGGTGTTCATTATATTCCTTCAAGAACATGGAAAAAACAATAAAGCCAATGAATCGCTTTGATAATGAAGCATGATATGTTAAAATATATCATTTTTTAGTGTTCTTGACAATCATTTAGCCAAGAAATTGGGATTTAGAAGCAATGAAAAAAACCTACCAAAAGACTCGGAAACAATTTCAAAAGGTTAGCCCCCCACCCCACCCCACATACCTTTAGCTTTGCCCGCTCACGGATAAGCGTGAGAGACGCCTCGATAACACGCTTTTGCCCCTTCTCTATCAAATCTTTTGGTATACATTCAGCACTCAATTTGTGCAGATAATGAACACCCATTTTCCCCACGTTTTTTATGTTTGCAAAATCCTTCTGTAATACCTTTATGATCAATAAAGAAAGTGAAAACAGGATTAAAAAAAGGATGTCAAGATGAAAAGTATGGCACACTATTTGTCGTCAATCTTTCTTGAATTTCTTCCACATTCCCTGAGAAAGCTCAAAACAACGGAAAGAATGGATTTAGCTGGAAGTTTGAAATGTTACCTATTAACCCCTGAATATGAATTTTAGTAGAATGAATGCGTCCCAGTGTTGTGGACAGACATTACGTACATAAGGGAGCAGCTGAACTAGTCCAGACTGTAAATAATTAAAGATGTGTTTTTTAGGGCTCTGCTCCGCGCGCCTCCAACCTTGCTCTGCGCACCATTTCCCCCCATTAAAGTGACTATCGCACACGTAATTATGGAGCTAGGCGATCCCTTCATTCTTCGTATTGATTTTCGTAATGGGCCTTAATGCTTCTTTAAATGAAAATACTCTGTAGGTTTTGAACTATGCATTTTCAATTTGAAATCATGATATTATACGGAGTATTAATCAAGGCAACGATAGTGTCATATTAATCTCCGGTGATGTTAAACAAAAGATATCCGTATATGCTCCGTATGTTTTGATTGAGATTCTTGTCATGGCGTAGGCTTTGTTTGCAAACCATTAAAAAACACTTCCCAGGAAACGTATACCATACAGCCGGCTGTACGGCTGGCACAGTACAGTCGGTGACATTTTTGTAAATTTGATGAAGTTCATGATTTCTCTTAAATAAACATTGATGTAATTTGGATGAGCATCGAGTCTGTTCTTCTGAGTATTAGGAGCCTAACAATGAGCATCAGTGATCTCTGTTTCATATCTTCTAATTCAGTTTCTTTTTATTAATTTTCGTTTATAAAAAAATCTTAAATTGTGTTTATAATTAATTTCAATATGTCAATCTAATGTAGTATGATATGTTTGATATGTGCATCATTTTAAAATGAGCATACACCGGAACGGCGGTACCAAATGAGCATACATAAGTTACAAAATTAGTATAAAAAAATCAAAACTTCATTTGTGTATGCTCATTGATTTTGGGCGTTATATTTGATATGTGCATCATTTTAAGATGAGCATAAAGCAGTGTCAAATGAGCATACATAATTTACAAAATGAGTATCCAAAAAATCAAAAGCTCATTTAATTTGTGTATGCTCATTGATTTTGGGCGTTATATTTGATATGTGCATCATTTTAAATGTGCATAAAGCAGTACCAAATGAGCATAAATAATTTACAGAATGAGTATCAAAAAATTCAAAAATTCATTCGTGTATGCTCATTGGTTTTGGACGTTATACTCATTTAAGTTTAACATAAAACACATTTTTAATGTGTTTAATACTCAGTTGTGTATGTTCATTTCTTTGAGGCGTATACTCATCTGAGTTTAATATAAAACTCATTTTTAATGTGCTTAATGTTCAGTTGTGTATGTTCATTTCTTTTATGTGTATACTCATTTGAGTTTAATATAAAACTCATTTGAAATGAATAGCAGTAGGGATTCCTTTGTCTGCAGGAGGCTCCTTTGTCTTCCAAAATCACAATCTCAAACACCAAAATTGAATAAGAAAAAGAGAAAAAGAGAAAAGAGTGAAAAGAAAGATAGAGGGAGGATCTGCTATGTCCCTTCTGGAGGAGAAGGAGATGAGCGGTGAGAGGCAACGACGAGCAACGACCCGGAAGAGAAAGAGACGAGTGGTGAACATATAATCAACTAGGTGCGAATCCAGATCGAAGAACCAGACGAGATCTGAAGCTGGTGCGAAGTTGGGTGCGAAGTCGAGGAAGAAGGCCAGAGCGAGATCGATCGAAGAAGAAGTGCAGAGCCAAAAAAAGGCCGGCTGTACCGTGCGCACGGTACAGCCGGCTGTACGATGTATTGTACCCACTTCCCAACTTTTAACTTAAAAAACACTTATTTTACCAAACACTACCAGCTTTTACTTTTCTCCGCTTTCATGTAGAATCCACTTTTTATTTTTTCTATTACCAAACACTACCCACTTTTACCACTAATCACTTTTTCTAAAAAAGTGTTTTTTTAAACACAAGCACTTGCAACCAGAGCCGTAGTGCTTTAATTCTCCTTTCTCTATACTCCGTAGTAAATATAATAACATTTTTAAAAAAATACTACGTATATTTTAAAGCAGGTCAGTTTGAGTATTCGTTTTTTTCGTTTGGATTTTCCAAAACTAGGACCTAGCCTTAACCTACCCCGAACCCGTATTACCCGACCCACGGTTCCTGTACCCGCGGTTACTGGAACTCATTATTAATGCTCTTATAAATTTTTTACAATCTTCTTGTACAATGGGGGATGAATGTGAAAATTATCTAACAAATAGTACTCTTGATTTCAGCCTTATGAGATATTTATCTATCACACTATTTGTATCTCAGTTCATCTTTTTTATGTGTTTTATTAAGTTTGTCGTATACAATATTCGTTAATATTTTAATGGTTATATACTACCCCTGTCCCGCTAAGATGGTCCCATTTTACCTTTTCGATCCGTTCTACTAAAATTGTCTACCAAATTTGGTAAAGTTTGTGTAACTCTAAATCATTCTGACTTTATTCTTACTTTATTAATTTAATATCAACCACATACACCATTTTTTATTAATTTGCGTGACACTCCCTCTTGTCCCATTGTTAGTGGGACGGAGGGAGTATATAATTTGTCATTCACCTTTAGTTTCAATAATATTGTCTTTATTCTATTATCATCTAACTACGACATGTTAATATTTGTGATCTTTTTAATTGAGATGTTTTCGGTCCCAGAAGCGCTTTTTTCTTTTTTAGTTTTTTTGAGATGTTTTAAACTGCAAAAGCTTAAAAATGCGTTTCTCGGCTTTTGACTTAAAAAAACTAGAATCAGTGTTTTCAAGTGACAACTTCTATTTTAAAAAACGCTTATCGGTTTTTCGCTGAAAACTGCTTTTTACTTTTCTATTACATAAAAACACATATTTTACCAAAGATTATCAACTTTTAGTTTTCAAAATCATTTTTTTCTCAAATACTATCAACTTTTTCAATTAATCATTTTTCCAAAATCATTTCAAAAACATTGCAAACACTCCCTTATAGCCTTATAGGGCTGTCAATTTTTAAAATAATTGTTCCAATGATATTTTAAAACAATTGTTCGAAGCTTGACACCAAACCAAGTCAATTTTAAAATTGTTTGAAATTCAATAGGGTTGTCACTTGTGAAAGTTTAATTAAAAGATTGAAGAGGGTAAATCAATCTCACAACGGTTACATTTAAAGATTGAAATTCAACGGTTACGTTTAATAATGAGGCGCACCCCCTTTTTTTTTACTATTCTCGACCAACTGACAAGTGACAAACTGATGGAGTGAGCCCCTCCATGACCGAACCCATTTGGAACCTAAACACTACTCTAGTACCTAGTACTATTTTTACAAAATTTTGGAGGAGAGAGTTAATTGAGTACAATAACTTATATGAGGTGAAATAAAGAGTACACTATATTGAATTGAATCCTTTTAAGTACACAAATTTGGGATTTTAATGTTAATTGAATACACTTGTTATATTAAGACGTTAACACATTTAAGTTGACTGACGAAATATTGAGTAAGAAAGGTTAATGGACCAAGGACATGGCGCTGACCTTCACGAAGTTGACCAAAAAGAGAAAATCGACCTTCGAAGGTCGACCCGTGGGGGGACGTCGACCAGCAGGTAGTGGTGGACTCGGGCCGGGCGGCCCGGCCCGGAACCGGCCCGATTATTGTTTGGCCCGGCCCGGCCCGGGGCCCGGTGGGTCCACCGGTTCGGTTCGGCCCGGCCCGGCTGCTGGGCGGTTCGGGCTCGGGCCCTGTTTTTGGTGAACCGGCCCGGCCGGTTCGGGCCGGTTTTTATTTTATTTTATTTTTTTTGAATTTTTTTCAAGTTTTGAGTTGGATTAGGTATTTTGGGCCATTTGAGGTGGTTTGGGGTTGAGGGGGAGGGGTTGGGGGTTAAACAGAAGAGCCAAAAAAAAAAAATTAGAACCGGTTAGGCCCGGCCCGGTTTGGCCCGGAACCGGAACCGCCCACCGGCGGTTCGGGCTCGGGCCCAACTTTCCTGGCCCGAACCGGGCCCGAACCGGCCCGAGTCCACCACTACCAGCAGGGGTGCATCGACCAAGGAGAAGTCGACCTGCAGGGGGCTGACGTCGACCAATGGGAAGTTGATCAAGTGACTGGGGGGTGGCGTCGACCTTCAAGAAGTCGGACTATTAACATTCTATTAGCCAACTCACCGTATTAACGTGTTAGTATAACAAATGTACTCAATTAACACTAAAACCCGAACCTGTGTAATTAAAAAGTTAATTATACAATGTACTCTTTACTCCAACTCATACAAGTTAATGTACCCAATTGACCCTTATTTCCAAAATTTTCTCCTCTAATCTGATCTGGTTTCATTCGGTAAATGTTTGGTCTTTGTATATTTTTCAAATATTCATGTCTGGTCTGGTTTGGTCTAATTTGGTTTGATTTTGTACTAGAAACAGTCCAAATAAAAGTGTCTTAATACGGAGTAATTGTTTTCTAAACGAATTACATGTGCAAACTCACAAGAAAAATGCGTGATGTACACAAAATTTGTGCACCTTTTTTGTACATATGTCTGTCCTTAGCAGACAAATTGTCCGTTGAACGACAACTAAGGACACACTACACATTATATTTACAAAATGTGTACTATTGCGTCTGATAAATGCTACTAGTACTGCAAACAGTTACACTTAAAAATAATGTTTACTCTAATTTAATCATCTTTCCTAGGGTATGTCTTTATTTTTTGGCCGAACCGTTACAAGTATATTCCATATCGTAAAGAAAAGAAAAAATCATTGGGGGCTAAATAAATATATACTTTCCCGTTTTTTAATTCTTGCAACATTGTGATTTTTGCATTATTCACAGACTTTAATTTGATCACGATTTTCTACTAATATAAATAATCGAATTATTACGTATAAAATGTTATTGAATTCCTATCAATGTGAATTCCCAAAATATCAGCTTTTTATAATGTTTACTAATACATAATTAAATGTATTTACAATCAAAGTTGTGTGTTGACAAACGTGAAAATCAACTTGCTGCAAGAATTTAAGAACAGATGATAGTACACTCCATAATTTAATAGGGGCAATTACTCTAACTCTAAAAAGCACTTATATACTGTTTTTCAATTTTACTAGTATTGTATTAGTAAATATTATCTGAGGCATGTGCCCTCACTCCAGTGGCATCAACGGTTATCGACAAACACCGGGAGCTCGTCTGCGGCGAAAATTAGTCTGTTAACAAGGTGTGTCAATTCATGGCTGAAGCACTGCAGGAACACTGGCAAGCAGTGAACCGCATCATCAGATATCTTTCTGGAACCACAAGTCATGGCATTTTCATCAGACCTATCCCCCTGCCTGAAATGCCCCTTCCTATATCAGCCTACTGTGATGCTGATTGGGCATCTAATCCAAATGATAGGAAATCTACATCTGGTTCTTGCATTTTTCTGGGAATCAGTAAG